AAGCCACCGATTGCCTTCGACAGCTTTCGTTCATCATTAACGTATATGAGACCCGTCAATAACCGTGACTCCACTTCCGTGATACAGACTGAATGCCCGTACAATTAAACCCGCCGTTATCATGGTGGTATGGGCGTAGCCATCACCGTTTGAGACGAGGTTAGTAACTTCGTTGCCGAAGCGAACATTATTAAAGCCAGTAATTTCAGCCAGCCGAAGCGAAGTCGAATTAGCGATGCATTTGTCATGCCAAAGACAGCATCGGGGATTCGTCATATGTCTCGGCAAAGTATACGACGAACAAAGTACAAAGTCAAGCAATTGCCGAGTTCGGTCCCCGATACATTCGTTGTCCTATATATCCGCCCCGTCAAAATCATTATTCGCTCTTTGGTCTCGATATGTTTATTGATTAATTCTATTATGGTTTTCACGGTCCAACAGTTAAAATTACCCTTTACTACATTGCAGTCCGATATTTTCCTTCTCCTTACGGACAAGTATCGTCTTCGAAGCTCACATCGCTTAAATATTGCGCAAGCGCATGAATCGAAAGGGAGATAAACCGTAAACTGACCGGGTTAATTGAGTTGAAGCTGCGCTCACTTCTGCTTCGTTTATTTAATAAGCGATCGGGTAACGAAGCGAATTAGAAGTACCGTTAATTAAACACCACGATAACGATAAGAGCGTACAGCGGAAATTCGATAAGTAAAATTGACTACTTCATTTTCATTCAAACTTCAGTGAAAACCTGCAATGACAATCATAGCGCACGTATATTTGCGTTAATACGTAACAACGAACAACTTATTGTCAACTGTTTTCGACGCCAGCCGGAAAGCTGTGGGTAGATGTTTGTCGACTGGAGATCGATGACTGCACCATGTCGCATATGCGGTGACCAGCACGTCTGTCTTGTTAAGTATTTCAGACCGGAGAAGATATTAAGCGGTATTGTTTACTATCCGAAGTTTGTTAATCGACAGTGACTACACGAGCTGTGAAGAGAAGCACTGTATAAATCAAGGATCCAGTGACCGTGGGACGATTCCCAGAATCTCCCGGATAATGATACATTCGAGCTCCATTGTCTCGATATTCATGGGACCAAGAAAAAATATCGAATTATTCGAACTTTGAGACATCCGACCAGGGCATATCATCACATATCACTGAAAGAAAACAAAAAGTAGAAAGTAGCTTTCATGTATATTTATTTGTATATACCTTTTTACTCACAGGGATCGCGATCACACACAATACAGGTCATGTTACAGTTGCACAAAACCCTCATTGGATTCTCAGTATGTTTTGATTCAAAACTACAGTGGAAACCGCCTAAGTAAAGACCGCGTAACTAAACAGACCTGGGCCCTTATTCTCGAAACATTCGTAGCCCTAAGAATTCTTAACTTTGATCGTAGCCAATGTGTTAAGAATGGGCTTAAGAAGTTCGTAGGACTTACGAAGTTTCGAGAATAGCTAGCCTGATAAGTAAACACTTTTCTTTAGTCCCGGAAAATTTCTTCATTAATAATCACTATTAGAGTCCGGTTAACTAAACTCGGATAAGTAAACAATACCGCTTAACTAAACGTCTTCTCACGGTCCCTGGAAGTAAATTACTTAACAAAAGAGACTGGATAACTAAATTAGCAATCACCACATAATGCGACATGAGGGGCAGTCATGTCAGTCTCCAGTCAAACAAACATCCTACTTACAGCTCGCTGGCGTCAAGCAGTTGACAATACACTGACAACTGGAGGCCAGCCCTGATAAGTTGTTCATTGTTACATGTGTATAAATATACATGCATATGGTTGTCATTTGCAGGTTTTATAAGTTTGGATAAGTAAAATACCTGATAAGTAAACAATTTTGGCGAGTCCCTTGAAATTTTACTTATCAGGTTTCCACTGTACATGTATTATCCGTTATCAGTAGTGTTTAGTCGTAACAGTGAGTACTTCCTAATTAATTCCTTGTTACTTGATCCTTATTAAATAACAAGCAAGTGACACCTTCAACTCAATTAGCCCTAATTAGTTTACAATTTATCGCATCCCTTTGATTCATGCCGCACCATGTGTAAACGTGTGGAAACAACCTCAATTCAGAGGTACTGATACTTGTCCATGAAAGGAAGGAAAATATCGAGTTTCTTTGCAAATATCAAGTTAAAAGGGTAATTTTGCTTGTTGGGACCATGAAATTATATCGAGATATCCAAAATATCGAGACCTCCGTATCAAGTTAAAAGAGCTTGAATAATGATAAATTATGAAGGATTTTGACAGGACCGAGATGTTATATCGAGACAACCGAGATATCAAGTTATCAGAGTTCGACTCAACAGTGCTTGACTGTACTTTGTTTGTCAGCCATTATCCTTTACCAGAGACCATATGATAATTCACTATTTGGTCTCTGTCTTTACTCATGGGTTTCAACAACATGATAAATACCTGTATCACTTAAGGTATTCCTTCAACAGCAAGTTACCTGGGTTTCAACAACGTGATAAATACCTGTATCACTTAAGGTATTCCTTCAACAGCAAGTTACCTGCCACACTGTCATATAACCGATCCTCTTAAAACAGTATTAAACACACCCACTCTGTACACCATGACTGATACGTAGGTTTAATTACATGTACAGACATTCAGTCTGCCTGTATCACAGGAGAGTTATAAGATGGAAGTCACAGTTGTGTAGGTCTCATATACTTTCCATTGTAGTGAAACCTGCAAGCTAATCTGGAAACTTAATCAGTCAGAAAATACATACTATATTAAAGTTGGTTTTCTTGCTCACAATGTGTCAGGGTTAAACGTTGGCATTTCCACCTGTCGTACTTATAGGATAATCACCAAGTATTGACCTTGGGTCCACTCAGTGAGATAAGCATGATGTCTGACAAGAAAAGCCATGTTCAATGTTTCAAACTGTACAGGCCATGGGCTAAACCCAAGTATATTCCACAATGAATCTTGTATTGACCAGTTAATGGAAGACAGTGTCCAGGCAAACAATACTAGAGCTTGTATAGCAGGCAGGAGGTTTACTAAGTCAGTGGTAGCCTTCCTTCTGAAATTGGGGCAGTGGGGTAGCCTAGTGGTTAAGCATTAAGCTCGTCAAGCTGAAGACCGGGTTCGATTCCACACATGGGTACAATGTGTGAAGCCCATTCTGGTGTTCCCTGCCATGATTTCTGGAATATTGCTTAAAGCGGTAAAACTAAACTTCGCTCACTCACTCCTTTTGAAATTACATTGAAACCAGTCATGTAAATGAAATGTGTGTGAGCTTCGAAATGATTCTTACAGGTGTCAGTATTCGGAAGTGGTGAGTACTAAAGAAACATGGCTGCAAGTTTCTAAGTGGGTCAGATACCAATTTCACTGTTATGACCTCTGACCTATTCTATGTTGCAGCCAGATCAACAATGGCGTCTACCGCTGTGGGTTTGCCCAGAGCCAAGAGGCATACGACAGCGCCATCATAGGACTGTTCCAGGGACTTGACCACGTAAGATAAACCCACAAGTACATAGTGGAAAGAGCCCCAGATTGTCTAACATGGATGATCATAAGACTGATTCTCTAACATGGATGATGTAAGACTGATAAGACTGATTCTCTAACATGGATGATCATAAGACTGATTCTCTAACATGGATGATCGTAAGACTGATTCTCTAACATGGATGATCATAAGACTGATTCTCTAACATGGATGATCATAAGATTGATTCTCTAACATGGATGATCGTAAGACTGATTCTCTAACATGGATGATTGTAAGATTGATTCTCTAACATGGATGATCGTAAGACTGATTCTCAAACATGGATGATCGTAAGACTGATTCTCTAACATGTATGATCGTAAGACTGATTCTCTAACATCGATGATCGTAAGACTGATTCTCTAACATGGATGATCGTAAGACTGATTCTCTAACATGGATGATCGTAAGACTGATTCTCTAACATGGATGATCTTAAGCCTGATTCTCTAACATCGATGATTGTAAGATTGATTCTCTAACATGGATGATCGTAAGACTGATTCTCAAACATGGATGATCGTAAGACTGATTCTCTAACATGGATGATCGTAAGACTGATTCTCTAACATGGATGATTGTAAGATTGATTCTCTAACATGGATGATCGTAAGACTGATTCTCAAACATGGATGATCGTAAGACTGATTCTCTAACATGGATGATCGTAAGACTGATTCTCAAACATGGATGATCGTAAGACTGATTCTCTAACATGGATGATCTTAAGCCTGATTCTCTAACATGGATGATTGTAAGATTGATTCTCTAACATGGATGATCGTAAGACTGATTCTCAAACATGGATGATCGTAAGACTGATTCTCTAACATGGATGATTGTAAGACTGATTCTCTAACATGGATGATCGTAAGACTGATTCTCTAACATGGATGATCTTAAGCCTGATTCTCTAACATGGATGATTTCTAAGATTGATTCTCTAACATGGATGATCGTAAGACTGATTCTCTAACATGGATGATCGTTCGACTGATTCTCTAACATGGATGATCGTTAGACTGATTCTCTAACATGGATGATCTTAAGCCTGATTCTCTAACATGGATGATTGTAAGATTGATTCTCTAACATGGATGATAACATGGATAGACTGATTCTCTAAGACTGATTCTCAAACATGGATGATCGTAAGACTGATTCTCTAACATGGATGGTAAGAAGACTTGATTCGTCTGATTCTCTAACATGGATGATTGTAAGATAAGACTGATTCTCTAACATGGATGATCGTAAGACTGATTCTCTAACATGGATGATCATAAGACTGATTCTCTAACATGGATGATCATAAGACTGATTCTCTAACATGGATGATTGTAAGACTGATTCTCTAACATGGATGATCGTTAGACTGATTCTCTAACATGGATGATCGTTAGACTGATTCTCTAACATGGATGATCTTAAGCCTGATTCTCTAACATCGATGATCGTTAGACTGATTCTCTAACATGGATGATCGTTAGACTGATTCTCTAACATGTATGATCGTAAGACTGATTCTCTAACATGGATGATCGTAAGACTGATTCTCTAACATGGATTTACTTTGTGTGTCAGGCTGAAGAGATTCTCAGCAAACAGCGCTACTTGACAGGGAGTCAGGTCACGGAGGCAGACATCAGACTGTTCACAACCCTTGTCAGGTTTGACAATGTCTACCACACGCATTTCAAGGTAAAGATTTACCTGTCAATATGAATAAGTTCAAAACCAACTTAATGTTTGTTCATTTACTTAAGAGACACGCAATACTGAAACAAATGAAAATTCATCTCATAATACGCATAAAAACTTCTAGTTTCAGGAATGAAAGTGTTTTTTGACAAGTCAAACGATTTTGAATCTGAAACTGAAATTAGTAACCAGTAACTGACATAAAAAGCAAGAATTGGGGGGAAAAAACTCATTTGTGCAGATCTGTACACCTGTAAGTGAAACAAAACTGTTGACTGTGTTTCAGTGTAACCGACGTCAGATTATGAACTACCCCAACCTGTGGGGATACACCCGTGACATGTATCAGCTCCCTGGGGTGGCAGCCACTGTTGACATGGAGCACATCATGAAGCACTACTACGTAAGTACACCTGTATTCCCATAGATTACCTGCACAGTACGCCTTTAAGATATACCCATAAGATGCCTGTAGAATACACCTGTACAGCACATAGGTACAGTTTACTCATAGCAGTACACCTGTATAACCATGGGATACCTCTACCTGTACAGCACACCTGTAAGATATATCCACATGATCTGGAGAAAACAACAGTAAGGTATACCCATAAGATATACCGTGTAACCGGTAGGGTAAAGTTAGAGTCAGGTCGAAAACTGCTTTAGTGAATGGTATGACAAGTGTTCTGTAAACTATAACATCCCTGTGTTGCTACATCATTGGGTGATCTAGGCGACCACTTGACATCAGTGGAAGGACCCTGCATATAGGAAGTTGTAACATGTAAGGGTATGAACAACTTGCTTTAAACTTTTTTTCATTGTCTGATTGAATAGTATGTGATTGTTCTTTATAGTAAAGGTTGAATATGCCATGGAAGTAAATAATTGCACCCACCACAATACAATTTACGAGTTGACATTCTTAACACGGTGTCACTGTAACCATAACAACAACAAGTAGAAAAAACTTCTATCTGATATATTTTGTTTTCAGAAAAGCCACAAGACTATCAATCCCTTTGGCATTGTTCCTGTTGGTCCAAGCCCAGACTTCACAGCGCCCCACGGCAGAGCCAAACTATCAGCGTAGGATGTCAGATGTTCCATAAAGGGAACACAACACAATCCAGGCCCCGATTTCTCGAAACAAACTTAAGTCTGAGTTTTGACTTAAGTTAGAGTTTTTACTCAAATTTGAGAAAATGCATTTCCCAGAATGAGCTGAAATCGATATTTAATTCAAACATAGTAGATAATTTAAGTTTGGTGAATAGAATACTGAAGTTGTTTGGGCTTTTTGCATTTTAAAAATGCAGCTGAGTTAAAATTCAGCTGTTTCAAATAGTCAAACTCAGTTTGAGTAAAAACTTAAGTTTGTTTCGAGAAATCGGGGCCTGGCCCCGATTTCTCGAAACAAACTTAAGGCTGAGTTTTGACTTAAGTCTGAGTTTTTACTCAAATTTGAGAAAACGCAGGAAAATGCATTTCCCAGAATAAACTGAAATCAATATTAAACTCAAACTTAGTAGACAATTTGAGTTTGGTGGATAGATTTCTTAAGTTGTTTGGGCTCTTTTTTATTTAAAAAATGCAGTTGAGTTAAAAATTCAGCCGTTTGAAATTTTTAAACTCAGTTTGAAATTTGAGTAAAAACTTAAGTTTGTTTCTAGAAATCGGGGCCTGATGTTTGACAGACACTACACTCAGACTGATTTGACACAATCAGCCTAGCATTCTCACAAAGGGATAACAGCACTGAATTTGTTCTCATTCACAATACTCCATTCAGTTCATATATACTGATATACTAATATACTCTGTGAAGGAGCAAACTTACTTCACACATAATGGAGATTATATTTTGCATATTAGTTAGTTTTATATATTTTTTACATACAAATCAAGCAATTGTATGGACACATTTATATATTCAACACTCTGATACTAGGATGCTACAAATGAAACACTTTGTTTTTGTAGCTTTTTTCGTTGTTTTAAATTTATATATATTTGTTGTTTGTTTTGTGTTGTTTTAAATTACATATATATGGTTCTTCTTAACAGATTAACTGTAAGAAGCCAAGTGGTTACAAAAAACATCAACTGCCTTTCAAAATAAACACATTTCAACATACTGTGAATCCATGTCTTATTTTACACTAAATATTTTTAGTATCTGTGCATTTGTAAGCTATCTTGATTACATTAAGATAAGGTCGATCAACAAGACAAGCGAACCACAGAAGTCTTCACAGGAATATACTGATCTAATGTTGTTATAGAAAAGCTTCAACCCAATTGTTCAACAGTCAAGAGTTGAATAAAGATGATAGAGTCTGAGAGAAACTTCACTATCATCTGCATCAGGTTCAGCTCAAACAGTTATTCTTATAAAACATGTTTTCTGTGTGGATCTGAATCTCAGTATCAGGATACATATGAGAGCATGGGGTGAAACATTTTCTTCCGTGACCAGGTCCGACTGCCACTCTCCTACCCCGAGTTCCACGCGGCAAGCCAGCATAGTACCTCTGCCACAGGCCAGAAAAATGTGACGATTCGTCACATCTTGCACTGTCCATTCAATATAATGTACAGAATTCTTTTACTCTTTTATTTTTGACGAGTCTACACATCTAACTAAAATTCTTTAATAGAATGAATTAGTTTCACTGAGAAAATATCCAAAAACTTGTAACAATATTTTGATTTGCGTAGCGATCCTTTGTTTACATAAGTTGTCTACATCGAAGCCGACTGAGAGCAAATGATGCAGCCAGTTTGATATCTAAATATGTACTGTCATAGACCTAACTGTCGCAGTTGTGGAAGAATATATATGTAACAATGTAAAACATTATGAAGAGAGCGCCGAAAAGATTTCGGGAATCCAGTCTCTTCTTATTACAAACAAGAGAAAAGTCCGGTCACGTGATATGCAAATTAGCCTGTGGCAGTGATGTTATGTTAAGTCACCGCTGTGCCGGAGTGTGGTCCAACTGCATGACTAGCTGTCCACTTCTCTGATTGACATCATGTTCAAATAAACATTTATACTCAAAGGCCAAAGTTACTGTAACACGCAATCACAAGCAACTAACAGAAATTGTGTAAACTTTCACTGTCGCAAAAACAAATATTTCAAGGGATGGGAATGATCAAAAGTACATAAGAACAGCACAGCTGGCATGAGCAAATGAGCCATCACACAAGAAGGGTTCACAAGTATGTTCACATGGTCGGTACCGAGTGTGTCCACCGTGTGCATTGATGCAGACCTGGCACCTTCACCTCATTGAGTACCGAACATGGAAAAAAGTCCTGGAGAAAATCCTTTCATATGTGAGGAAGGATTTGGCGGAGTTCCTGCAGTGTTGTGGGGTTGTTACCATTGGTTGGCCACCAAGGGAACGGTCAAAGACTGGATTGTTTGTTGAAAGCCATAAACTCTCCATCTGTCATGTTACTCTAATGGGTGGCATGTTTAACTTGTTCCAGACTAATGAATCGAGGTGTTTTCTCTTATTTTTTCAAATTTGTCTTGCTTCTTGCAAATTTGGCCAATTCAAACAGCTGCGTGGCTGCATTTCTTTGACCATTTTACCACACTCTTTTCTCTGGTTATAATCCCAAAATTCATTCACCAATGAAAAAACACAATGTCACAGTAATCTTTGCCTTTAAATTTAGTTTTTCTAATTTTACAAATCAAATTGTGAAAATCCTTTGTGACTTATATACAAAGATGAACCCTTTGACAGCACAATCTGAATGATGGTATGTTGTTAAAAGTTAGTTGGCTTCATTTGTTTACTATCTCAATTCAGAATTGTCAATCTTAACCAAAGGAAACTCAAACACAACAGTTATTTCCTTTGAATTAAACAATGGCAGGATGTATAAAATATGCACAACTGTATAATGGGGCTGCTAAGAAAGGCTCTTTTTTGAGAATGTCGTTTCGTTACCTTTGTTCTGAGAGTTGCCTCCCTTTCATAACTTGTTTTTGATTTCTGTGAAGGTTGTATAAAACTGTTGGTAACTGTTTAAAAAGGAGTTTCCAATTATTTCAGCACAATGGCTTCTGACTGGCACCAATGTTTGTCTTTTAAGACAGATCAACAAGCACATTGACTGAGATGTGTGAAATTGATTGAGATCAATATTTATTGCTTACACATGAACATAGTGGAAGGCAAGGAAATTGTTCAGTAGCTGCCATCATACAGCTGGAACATTCCTGAAGCCCAGACTTAAGCGGTCACTGGGGATCGAAACCCCACTCAGACACATTATTGACTCGAGCCAACCAGTCCTTGTACCCATTAATGCTGAGCCTTAGGGACCACCACACCACGGAGCCGCAGGTCCGGGAACATTGAGGCCTGAACAGAACAGCGAACTTACATGGTGACTAAAAGTAGTCTTGAAACACAAGAAGGCAAAGCATCTTTAGTCACTCTCTTGTGCAGTCGCCTGAATAGTAGTTTCCATCTGGTGTCCAATGTACTTGGGTCTAAATCTCAGAAAAGAACAACCTGCAATATATGCATCAAATTCAACAAATACATCAAGTATGGAAAACTTTTATTCCTTCCACAGAAGTGAGTATAGATACTGGTTTGATCATAATGTTGTGGCATCTATGATGTGTCAGACCCACTCATTCCTCTTAGTAAGTTCTTAAAACACTTAACAGAAGTATATCAAGCAAAGGCCACAGTACTGTAGCTCACTTGTTGCATGTTCACATATTTGAATATTTTCGTCACCTCCACACAGATAGTGTTATGTTTGACAACACTGCCTCTACACCAACACAGCACTGAACTATTTTCATCACATGGCAAGTACCGGTAGTACAGGCCCTGATATACATTATAAGTGTGATCATTGCCAGAACAGAATTCCCATCATAGTCTCACTCAACTCAACACAAATCCAGACATATTCATTCATTCAATCAGGCAGTCAGTGAGTTGAGTTTTATGCCGCTTTTAGCAATATTCCAATATATAACGGCGGGGCATATTCATTCAGAGCATCAACATCTGATCACAATACACAAGGATATGGCTTACTACAAATGTGCTGTATCATTTTATTACAGACTTCAATAACATCTCTTTACTGGGTTTCTTATAACATCTTTTGATTGTGGTGTTAACAAAAACAAAGAGATACTGTTCATAATACACCAACATCTGTCATCAGTACGTCCCTTTGATTGTCAGTAATTCTTTTCCCCAATACCTATTCATACAGGCTTTGATGAATTATTGGTTTTGAAGAACTGACAGTATGAGTAAGACTCTCATTTATTCTGATATGGCTTTTTCATGGTATTGTCATCTGCAAACTGTCCAGAGACGTAAATGCTTTTGTGGTTAACCTCAGTCAGGCCTCAACACAGGAAATGGCTGTCGAAGCGAGTCAAAGGATGAATACTGCAGAGAGATGTGCATATACATCTTCTTCCATTCAGTTCCAAACACAACCAGTGAATGGATTTCTGTACCATGACAGTCTGCAATATTCCAGCATAATACTGGTTGCCTGTAAATAACAGTCTCTTAGCAAGACAAATCCATGGTTGACACCACAGGCAACAATCCACAGTTTTGCTGCACAGTCTTGCTACACCTTGACACGAGTCAGGTCACTCAATATATCGATCTGATCATTACTGGTCAGATCCAGTTAAATAACAAGAATGGGATATCAGTGTCTCAACACAGAGGAATATTCATCCGACTGAGTCTGAGGATGAACTCAAGCAGGTACATCTGAAGTCGGATCTCCTGACGGTTGTTGGTCACGAAGAATCCTGGGACTCCAGCCTTCTCCAACATAACCTGTTGGTCCATAACCTTCTGGTCAAGGTCAAGGATGACCTTCATGTCCTTCTTCTTCAACTCCTATAAAACCACAGCGTTTGGTCATTGTCTGAATAGAAACAATACAAGGATTGAGAAACTAAAACCTACTATGTATTTTGCCACGGAGAGTAATATTTTGCTAAGTACTGTCCTTCCTTTCTACCTCCAGGCTACCACCGAAAAGTCTAGAAGTACTGACCTCCAGCTCCCTCTGGATCTGCGACTGGACCAGTGGAAGGTTGTGGGGCTTGGTCTGACAAGACTGCAGCATTTCTTTGTGTTTCTTCTGCATCTCGTGACGCTGAGCTTCAAACACCAGTCACAATCAGAATTAACTGGGGTTCTTGAATTTTTCTGGTACACAACAAGTATTACTGTCTTAGGACACCCATAACAATGCCTTTTAATGGGAGGGTAAGCAAAAGGACATGAAATGTGTACATGAATATCAATAAAATCACATAAATATCATGCTCATGGCTCTTGGTGAAGGTCTGAAAAGTAAGGTTCAACACAAATTTTGAAAAAAACAAATCCAGTGAAAAGTCGATTGAACAATGGTTATCAGTCAGTCAAATTGTGGCACACACCTCTCTCCCATTGGTTTTACAAGGTACAATGACGCTATGAACAGTCGCCTACCCTTGTGTTCACTGTTGAGCTTTGACCTCTGGTTGAAGAGACTCTTCTCTTCGAGATGCTGCACTTCCTCCAGACTCCGGACAATCTCAAACACTGTCCCATCCAGCAGGGCATTGGCCAGGCCAGACAGCAGGTCATAGGGCAGACGCTGTTGGAACTTCCTACAACAACTCTCAAACTATAATGTGCTTCTTACAACACAGTTATACGCATGTAGTTTTCTGGCTATCATATCCCATAAATTAAACTAGCTACTACAAGAAAGAAACTAGATAATATCTGGTCTAAATATTGATTAAAGTTAAAATTCAAGAAAAGGTTCATCAATGTTACAATACATATTCCTGTAATTGAAGCATGTCTCACATGGGCAGTTCTCTAGCCATGCTCTGCAGTTCACTGTTGAGGAGGTAGTGATTCTTCTGACGCTGCTCTTTGAGGGACTGATCATCACTGGATTGAGCATCCCCTGCATTCATTGTGCGGCATTCAAGTATATTCACCAGTGTAGAAAAGCTGCAAATGTAACATGGAAGATGGTCTCTTTGAATAGCATTTAGAATGGCTCTCTCCTTAATATGGAAGATGTGATCATACATGTATAAAATGTCAGTAAACATGTTTGCAGATGAAAATACAGTTATAAACATGCATATGCACTTTGAGAGATAATAATATGACATAGGTAAGATTGAAATAATATAAAACATCAAAACAAAAGCACATGTTATACACACTATGCAGTTATTGATGAGGAAAAACAAAATGTCAATTATAGATCAGGTTTGTTTACACATCTCTATTAGACCAAACATCCTACATTCATCACTGCAGGTCGGATGTTCCAAAACTTCACACAACCAAAAACACATATGTTGTGTAAACGTTAAGATATGTAAAATATTGATTTTGAACATAGTTGTGACATCAGTAATTAAAGCTTATAATCAAACATCATACAATCATACAATACTGGCAACACTGTCAACAGGATACATGTCAGCAATTCCAACCGTGTTCTCCAACTCCTGTCCTGTGGGTGAGAGAAGTTATGTTTCAGGCTGATTCTCCGAAATATTCTAGCTTCACATGTACTGAATAACGCTAATGACGTCCTGTCACCAATCACTTATTGGCGAAACCGATGGTCCACAACTGTCGATCGAAAACTGAACAATCGTAACTTTACATCACTTCGCATAAATCCATAGGCATTTTGGCATTGGTATGTGCTCAGGTTAAGAACAGATATACTACAAGTAAGTGAATGTAGCTGGAGCGCCGGTATTAAGTTTGTTTTATATATTATCAATTATGTTTTCCTGTGAGAAAGCGTTCAAAGAAAAGACTCACAAAGGGAAGCAACTCTGCTTTACGCGAAACTCCTGACAGTAACATACTACTCAAACGCAGTTGGAAGCTTTGCAAAACCTAGACTAAAGCTTAGTCTCTGAATATATATAATATTCATAGTAACAAACAAGCCCATTTAAATTGAAAAGGAGCCCCAGGGAGACCAGGAAATCTAGACTTGCTTTATTTAGGGCTTTGGCACTGCAGAGAGGCTTGGCAGTAGGGAAAATAATGTGGTTCAGGGACTGTGAGACAGACTAGTGCACACCCATCTTACTGTCGTGACTACAAGTGGACTTTGGTTATATTATAAATGATACCCCGATTTCATATTCTTGTTTGATACTGCATTGAAAGAATTAAACAATTAAGATAAACAATCACGGTATATAAATACATAAAAGAGGAAATATCCCCTTGCAAAAACAATTCACAGACATTTTTGATAAAATTGCGCCACAGCCGAGTGAAAATGGTCAGGTTTTTTTTAAAATAAATAGTGCACCCGAAGATGGACCAGAAGAAAACTAACCTACACTTGGGAGTATATACTGTCGGTACATTGCGTCAGGCTTGACTAACACAGCTCTTAGACAGAATACCCGTGGAGGTCCGTGTTAGAATATAGTGATCTTCGGCAACCCATGCTTGCCGTAAGATTCGACTAACAGGATCGGGGGTCAGGCTCGCTGACTTGGTTGACACATCGGTTCCCAATTGCGCAGATCGATGTTCATGCTGTTGATCACTGGATTGTCTGGTCCAGACTCGATTATTTACAGACCGCCGCCATATAGCTGGAATATTGTCGAGTGCGGCGTAGAACTCAACTCACTCACTCACTCACTTTGACAGAATCTCACAATAGACCAGTACCGATGACAAGGAAGTTTTTTAAAAGTCGATTCTCTCGACTATTCGCAGCACACATACCCCAATGCAAGAAAGAACTGTCGTCGATACTCGTTACCATACTGACGAAATTCGTGCCTCAAAACGCTTGATGAAAATTGGCGTAAGATAGGTTTCGTGATTGAACACAAAATGTTCAAGAGTGATAATGACTAACTATATGTCACCTTAGTTACCACTCGAAAGAAACATTTTCACTCTAACTCCATCAAGAATGTTTACATAATCTGTTGAGAGAAGAAAATGAAGTTTTTCCGGAGCATGATTATGCTAACACTTTTTGAGCCAGACCTTACGATTAAATAAATAAATTTTTCACTAGAGATAATACAACTTTTACTCTCAAAATGGTATACTTGGAATTACACTTTCGCAGTAGATCTAAAGTACAGTTTCTAGTAATTTCGATGGGTTGAGTCCCATCCAGGATTCGAACCCACACCTTCAGAGTCAAGTCCCATGTATACACCTAACATCAAGTCAAACCTGAGTATTGCAGTCGTAGACGAATATCTATTTAAAAATGTAAAACAATATGATAAGCGCACAGAAAAGCTTGCATTAATATATACCGGTATATGGTCTCTGCATTAGGTGAGTATTTTCTGATTTACAAATATGCGTGTTTGTTTCCAAACAAGTCCGGTCACGTGCTATGCAAATCAGCCTTTGAATTTGTTTATTCTGGTACCACGCGCGTTTTAGAACGGTTGCACGTTAAGCGGCACGTTTCGTAGTTATCTCCCCTTCAATAGATGGCGCAGAAGAAAATGTCGTCTGGAGGACGTCTGGCGTGCACAAGTGAACGTCAGGCCACAAACTACAATATCAGTAGTGTGAAAATATATAAAGGGCCAGCAGGGCTTGTATGATGTTGTGAGTCTTCCGTGAATATATTTTTCTTATATTCATTATTTGCCTTTTTAGTTCACTTCGAAATTTGCCTCTGGTGGTGTCCGATCCCGTACGTCACGCTTTAGATACCAGAAGCAAGAGTTGCAAAGTCTAACCTGGCGTTATGTTTTTGAAGTGAATCTTGCATACTTTGCAGGCAGGTCACATGCTTACTAAAGTGACAGGACTCTCAAAAGTCAACAGTTTAACATGTCTGATTTATTTTAATTCATATGCGAAGTTTCACCCATAAGATTGAACAGGTTAGTGACAAATGGCATGCAGTCTAAAAAGTAAACTTAGTCTCAGTACTATTCGTTACACTCCTCACTCAGTATAGTAGGGTAACGAATAATACTGAGGCTAAGTTTACTTAGACTGAAATGGCATGCATTTATCTTTCATCTTTTGATGAAACACCCGTCCACATCGTTAGCATATCTGAAAAGAAACAAATTTTAAGGCAATCGATGAACTACAAAATGAGCCTGTCTACATTCCTGGCTTATGACTATGCCTCCAGAAATAGACCATATGCCTTCAAATATGTACCAGGTGTTGGCTTGAAAACCCAACGCTAGTAGTTATGTTCTTGTCTCGTATGTACTAAATTTCTTAATGATTATTGAACAGCTGATTTAAGATATGCTTCGTAAATAAACCCAGCCAGCATTTACACATATGTGATTTGTTTTTATTTGATACAAAATTTGAAGACAAAATTGATGCAACTTTATTCACTGTGACTACCACACACAGATTGAACAACAAATATTCCAGCAAAGTCAACAGAACCATAATTGCTTCAATAGTCACAGAAGCATATGTAATTCTTCTTGCAAGAAGTGTCTTTGTTGAAAAATGACTGAGCTTTGTTGCAAAATGTCTTTTTGAAATGTTTGAATTCATTCTTTTACAATTATATTCATAAATACTCAATAGAAAAGGAAAGCATTAAATTATGACACAGTAGCAATCTGTAATCGCCAACGACCACTTCAGTATACATATAGAGAGAGAGTGAGAGAGAAATAGATACATGTAGATATGTTATGTAGCAGATGTCATAGAGACAATGTTACATCACCATATAGCTGGAATATTGCTGTGTGTGGTGTTCAAACAATAAAGAAACAAAATGTTGCATCAATGTCATGTTCGAAATTGCACTCTTTATTCAGTCAATGGATTGGACAACACTCTTCAAACTCAACAACTGTATAAGTGAAATTCAGATTCAGGTTATATATAAGCTTACATGAAACAAACAACTGACATGAAGCGATTTCTAATTCTTTGGTTTACTGATTTGTTAGGAATGTATTGGCTATATGCCTTTGTGCTAAGCTTTCACTAACTTTTAAGTGTACATTTGGCTCTATTGAAAGGTACTTAATTATTGTTGAACTCATTGATATATTGTTCCACTTTTCAGGATGGATTTGAATGCTATCAAATGAGAGATAGAGGACAAAATGCACAAGTCCTAGACTACCCAAGTCCCTGCACCTCACACACTGTGCTGCTCCAGACAGACCGACTTGACAGCTCACAGAAGAATTGGAGTTCTGCCATATACAGAAATATCTGCATCTGGCAGATTTGGCGACACCAGATATTGTCATAGACCATCTCCTGTAAGACGGTTGTTGAGACAAGCTGCTTGTCATCAACAGAAGGTAGCATGATGAAACAGTGTCCCATGATGTTATGAGAACCACTGCACTGGCAACAGTGGCAATGAATGTGGCACTGTATGCCAGAGTGTTTTGATCAGAAATTTAAGTCAACTCACAAATCTACACTGACCTGTAGGAAGTTGTGAGTGGTGATATACTGATAAAACAGTTATGCCTTGAACCCTGTCAGTGACAACTTCCCATCAATGTCAGTGGTGCCTACAAATCCTTGGCATGGCTGTCAACAACAATCCTGCCACCAGCAGGGTTCTGCAGCAAGGTCGAGCTTCTGCCAACAAGGGTAATAATGGCATCCTGGCAGTCCTGGACGTTGAAAACCCTCTCCATGGCATCCCCGAACATTCTGTCATCTAAAAAATAATATCACTGGTACTTAAAAGGACACAATGAAGAGTAAATAGATTTTTCACCTTTAGTATTTAATATTGAAAGCCTGTATTTAATATCATGATATTATCTTTCATATTAGCTTATACTTGTTCTTATAGCCTTAAATACCCTCTTCACGACATCCCACAAATGGAAAGAGAATATGACACGTACTAACAGATATGATAAAGAGATATTTTCTCATCTTCACACGAAAAAACCCTTTATATAATACCATGATGTCATCTTTCATATCTACTTATATTTGTTCTGATAAGGCATATTTTGCCTCTTGGCATAAAAAAGTTAGCAAGGTACGAAAACATTTTCCTGACGATTCTTGCACCTTGCAAATCTTGCCTTCCACGCCTATTGAGGCAAGCTTCTTCCCCTGTTCAGAGGGTGGTGCCTTTGAGACAGTCCTCAATTATATCATAAGGACATCACCAACCGGAACAACTGCACTTGCAACTATGGCGATGAGTGTGGCACTGGGTGCCAGAGTGTTTTGATTGGAAAGCAGTCACAAATCTACTCTCTGGTTAACTGCGGAAACATTTACTTGATTGAGCCACTGGTGACATCGACTTGAACTTCAATCCTGTTGGTGACTACTGGTTAGGTCTAACTGCCATGCCACTGTAATAGGCCAGCATGTGACTTTAGGGAAGAAGACCCAATTTTCCCTCAATGTCAGTGGTGCCTATAACATCCTGGGCATGGCTGTCAACTACTATTCAGTCTCCAGCAGAGTTCTGCAGCAAGGCCAAGCTTCTGCCATCAAGGGTAATAATGGCACCCTGACAGTCCGGGACATTGAAAACCCTCCCCATGGCATCCTCGAACAATCTTTGATCATAAAAGAGAATATAACTAGTACTTACAGACAATAGGAGATACTATACCTTCTCATCTTGCGTGAAAAAAACCCCTTTATATATAATAACATGAATTCATCTTCTATATTGATTCATGTTTGCTCTGATAAGTTTTATATAGCCTATTGGCATAAAAAAAATATTAGCAGGGTACAAAAACATTTTCCCTGACTATGCTTGTACCTTGCAAATCTTGCCTTCCACAGCAATTGAGGCAAACTTCTTCCCCCTAGGGTGATGCCTTTGAGACAGTCCTCCTTTACATCACAAGGACATTACCAACAGGAACAACTGCACTTGCAACTATGGCGATGAATGTGGCACTGGGTGCCAGAGTGTTTTGATAGCAAATCACAAATCTAGTCTCTTGTTAACTTCCAGAAACATTTACTTGATTAAGCCACCGGTGACATTGACTTGAACATGTTAGTGTCTACTGGGTGGATCTAACTGCCATGTCACTGTAATAGGCGAACATGTGACTTAGGGAAGGAAGCCTTAGAAGACTCGACTTCCCATGAATGTCAGTGACACCTAAAACATCCTGGGCATGGCTGTCAACAGTCATCCTGCCACCAGCAGGGTTCTGCAGCAAGGCCAAGCTTCTGCCATCAAGGGTAATAACAGCATCCTGGATGTTGAAAACCCTCTCCATGGCATCCCCGAACATTCTTGTACCTTGCAAATCTTGCCTTCAACAGCTGTTGAGGCAAGCTGCTCCCATCTTCCTCCATTACATCACAATGACATCACCCGCATGGGCGTAATGACTCACAGGAACAACGGCACTGGCAACAATGGTGATAAATGTCAATGTGGTACACTGTGTACCAGAGTCGTTTCATTGGAAAGCAAAGCCACAAATCTACTCAAGGGTATTAATGGCACCCAGGCAGTTGTGAGTGCTGAAAACCCTCCCTACAGCATCCCAAACATTGACTAAAGAAGACAGAATATGTTTCACTTACGATGTTTACACCATGGAAATCTTGCCTTCCACAGCCTTTCCTCTGCTGTCAGTTGTTTGATTCCGTCTTATTTTCATTCTTCATCATTCTGCTTGATAGAAGCAGTAATTCTCAGGTGACGTCAAGTACACAGATGAGCGACTTTGCTAATGTCCTTTTAAATTTAGAATCATGTAAAACTAGATGTAACATAGATATAAGTATATTACCAAGGGCATGTCAAATTATGAGAGTGCGTTGCAGTATACAGATATCTTTAAATCTGTCTCCTTTGACAGCGGCACCAGACTCAACAGGCCGCATCTTTTTTGTACTCTTCAGCAGTAGAACCGTTCACAGAAAAGGCCCAACAGTGATGTAGCATAATGTAATGTCCAGGTTATATATTATCGAAGACATTTACACTATAAAAGTGTCTTTGATTCCAGTAGGAGTAGGTCATTATCACAAATGGTCCCAAAGCACTTCTTGATCTGATAACCGATTTCACAAGCGTGATTTAATGCAGCTCTATGTACACTGATTATACTCTTAATTAAGAACATATTGTGGCAACAGCTCACTATTTTTGCTTTTTGTGATGAGTTTTTGTTTCTTTCATAGATTCTAATTTATGCACTCTGTTAAAATTTAATAAAGGTACATTATCTTATTATCTGCATGATTCTCTTGTTAATGGTGTCCACTATCTTGGTGAAAGGACCATTAACATTATAGTTTGTGAATATGTCCATCATATTGAATGCAGAGAATGTGTATGCATAATATAATGATTAGATGTTTATAGGTGCAGAGGTGTAAAATAGAGGGCAATTATTTTTCATCAACTTCAATTTAGTGTTCTTATTCAGTGAAATTGAAATATAGTTACTCGTCTCTGTTGTAGTAACCAGAATGTTCTGGAACAGATGGCTGGAGAAACGTCCGCTGTTAGCTTTCTTGTCTGACCATTACATTTTTCAACATAACCTCCAATGTTTTGGATGTTTATTGTTTTATATCCATACAAGTTTGTTTGTTGCCACACTTGGCAATTTTCCAGCTATATGATGGCAGTCGGTAAATAATCAAGTCTGGTACAATCCAGTTATCGTTATCATGAGCATTGACCTACACAATTGGGATACCATGACATTTTCTCTAGAAATTATTTTTTATGAAATTACAAGTACTGATATAGTCAATACCAGTTGTTGAGTGTTGTTTTGTATAATTCATGTCACTCTCATAGAAATAAATGTATTAATTGTTATTTATAGTTTGTTCAGTTAATGCTGATAAGTTATACTCAATATGTGTCTTAAAAGAAAAAACAATTTATCAAGTTAATCTGTAGGAAACATGATTTTTACAGATGATTCGGATGAGGGAGGGAATAGGGTTGCTTTAAGAATATTGCAATTAAATACCAACACGTATGATCATTTGTGTGTACTTGTACAGGTCTGAGGTAATATGCTACAGTTTAACATGGATATATTCAAACACTGTATACTGAGGCCTAGCCATCTAGTTCTCGTTTTATACCCCTTATGCCAATTGCTAGCCATCTTTTAACATCATTTGGTATGACCCAACCACGTTTGGTCTGCCCACTAGACCACACAGGCGGTCAACTATGTTAAGTAAGTATACAAACAGTCCAATGGGAAATGTTCTTTAATGGAATGGAGTTATTTGCATATATTATATTTTAGTCAGTCACAAGGGATAGAAATGCAAGCATTCTTAGGTGCAAAATATAGTTTCTATTACTATGACACTTAGAGTGACCACGTAGCTTGTCTGTGTGTATGAAAAAACCCCTGAAATATGCAACAAAACAGTATTTTCTTACAGAGCACAAGGGGAGGCAATCTGTCTGGTGAACTCACTTTGACAGTACTAAAAGTGCATAACAAATTATTATTATTATTATTATTGGCTATTTAATATTTATATAGCGCACATATCCACACACTAGTGCATGCTCAAGGCGCTGGTATTTTTCCCCTCAATAATTAGATGTCAATCGCAACGGAACATCTTATTATTAATCACAGCTCCCTGGGGACCATACAACTCTTGCTGCCACAAGGCACCAAGTTACTGTGGCTTTCCCATCCTTACAAGGTACATTCACAGCTGGGTGAATTGGGACACACAGTCACAGTACTTTGTCCAAGTTTACTGCACGCTTGCTTTACCATATACCAACTAGGTGTTTGCACATTTGTATGTGACCACCCGTTCTGGTCATATACCAACGGATTCAGTGGGTTCTTATAAGTGCACAGGGTTGTGTACTGTACACTAGGGGTTGTGACAACACTGAAAGTTGACACTGACAGGAAATGTCCCAACAGTTAAGATTTTAGAACGTTCTATTTATTGACATTTGATCTGTTGAACAACAACAAAGGTCTGCTTGGTGGAAGTAAGAGAAATCTTTCTAAGAAAGATATGGCATAAAACCTATCTGGAAGCTTTAAATTCAAGGATTTAGAAAAGCATTTTGATATCTGTATCATGAAAACAAACGAACTACAACTTTCAAATCTAACTCTATACAGTCTGTGCCCTTATATTGTGGTTATTCGTACATCCATGATCGTGTCTTCTCTGAGTGTCGTGGCATCTACACCTGAAAGGGAGCACAATCACCCATCCTATATTTAGACTTTCCAGTCATAGTTCAGTCAGGATATACTGGACCAGTGCAAAGGATATACACTCTGAAAGATTTTATATTTTGAAAATCTTTTTATTAAAACTTGAATCAACAAGTCACCATCCCATTTGGTTGATACATATTATTGTCACAGATTGATGGACCAAGTAGTTTGTTAGAAGAATCACAAATAATTTTACAATTGGATTTGTAAAATTCTTTTATTCAGGATACCAATTTCCTTTTTTTAACAAAGCATTTACAATTTCAACAACATGAACAAAATCTCCCTTGAAGGAATTCAATTTACACCTCGTTTCCGTTTGTCCATGGCTATAACCAATCAGTGCCAATTAATTACCAGTTTCCCTTGGGTATATGTATCCATCCAACTTTTGTTGTTCTCACATATAAATATATGCTGCATCCTAGCTTTCATTCAGTATGAATATACTCCAAACATTGTGTTCCTTATCATGAAAAAGAAGTGTCTGTCAGTACTAAATGCCATTCAATGGCTTCAAAATATGTTCCTGGGTTGAGACATAATACAGTGCTGTGCTCTCTTTATGGACCATCTGACATCCCACGCTGATAGTTTGGCTCTGTCGTGGGGCGCTGTGAAGTCTGGACGTGGACAAACAGGAACGATGCCGAAGGGGTTGATAGTCTTCATTTCCTGAAAATACAGATGTCACTGGGGTTTTTGTTTTGTGTCATGTCATAATAACAGGGGTATGTTACCCATGAAAGATTGAGGGAAATAAAATTTGGATATTTGCACATTTTTGCAATTCTCAAATCTGAACGTAATGATGACACTTACAGGTGTGCACTACAGGTATCCTACAGGTGCATCCCATGTTGTAACTTACAGGTGTGCACTACAGGTATCCTACAGGTGCATCCCATGTTGTAACTTACAGGTGTGCACTACAGGTGCATCCCATGTTGTAACTTACAGGTATCCTACAGGTGCATCCCATGTTGTAACTTACAGGTGTGCACTACAGGTATCCTACAGGTGCATCCCATGTTGTATCTTACAGGTGTGCACTACAGGTAACCTACAGGTGCATCCCATGTTGTACTTACAGGTGTGCACTACAGGTGCAGGTGCATCCCATGTTGTAATCCCACAGGTGCATCCCATGTTGTAACTTACAGGTGTGCACTACAGGTAACAGGTGCATCCCATGTTGTAACTTACAGGTGTGCACTACAGGTATCCTACAGGTGCATCCCATGTTGTAACTTACAGGTGTGCACTACAGGTATCCTACAGGTGCATCCCATGTTGTAACTTACAGGTGTGCACTACAGGTGCATCCCATGTTGTAACTTACAGGTGTGCACCACAGGTATCCTACAGGTGCATCCCATGTTGTAACTTACAGGTGTGCACTACAGGTATCCTACAGGTGCATCCCATGTTGTAACTTACAGGTGTGCACCACAGGTATCCCTACAGGTGCATCCCATGTTGTAACAGGTGTGCACTACAGGTATCCTACAGGTGCATCCCATGTTGTAACTTCAGGTGTACAGTAAGGTGCATCCCATGTTGTAACTTACAGGTGTGCACTACAGGTATCCTACAGGTGCATCCCATGTTGTAACTTACACTACAGGTGTGCACCACAGGTATCCTACAGGTGCACCCCATGTTGTAACTTACAGGTGTGCACTACAGGTATCCTACAGGTGCATCCCATGTTGTAACTTACAGGTGTGCACTACAGGTGGTATCCTACAGGTGCATCCCATGTTGTAACTTACAGGTGTGCACTACAGGTATCCTACAGGTGCATCCCATGTTGCAACTTACAGGTGTAACTTACAGGTATGCACTACAGGTATCCCATGGTACATCACTACAGGTGCATCCCATGTTGTAACTTACAGGTGTGCACTACAGGTATCCTGCATCCCATGTTGTAACTTACAGGTGTGCACCACAGGTATCCTACAGGTGCATCCCATGTTGTAACTTACAGGTGTGCACTACAGGTATCCTACAGGTGCATCCCATGTTGTCCCAGGTGTACACTACAGGTGCATCCCATGTTGTAACTTACAGGTGTGCACTACAGGTATCCTATCCATGTTGTATCCAGGTGTGCATACAGGTGCATCCCATGTTGTAACAGGTGTTACAGGTACATCCTACAGGTGCATCCCATGTTGTAACTTACAGGTGTGCACTACCTACAGGTGCATCCCATGTTGTAACTTTGTATCCTACAGGTGCATCCCATGTTGTAACTTACAGGTGTGTACAGGTGCATCCCATGTTGTAAAATTACAGGTGTGCACTACAGGTGCATCCCATGTTGTAACTTACATCCTACAGGTGCATCCCATGTTGTAACTTACAGGTGTGCACAGGTATACAGGTATCCCATGTTGTAACTTACAGTATCCTACAGGTGCATCCCATGTTGTAAACTTACAGGTGTGCACTACAGGTATCCTACAGGTGCATCCCATGTTGTAACAGGTGTTACAGGTGCATCCCATGTGCACTACAGGTGTGCACTACAGGTGCATGCCCATGTTGTAACTTACAGGTGTACACAGGTATCCTACATGTGCACAGGTATAACTTACAGGTGTGCACTACAGGTATCCTACAGGTGCATCCCATGTTGTAACTTACAGGTGTGCACTACAGGTGCATCCCATGTTGTAACTTACACAGGTGCACTACAGGTATCCTACAGGTGCATCCCAGGTGCATCCCATGTTGTAACTTACAGGTGTGCACTACAGGTAACTTAACTTACAGGTGTGCACTACAGGTATCCTGCATCCCATGTTAACTACAGGTCCCATGTTGTAACTTACAGGTGTGCACTACAGGTGCATCCCATGTTGTAACTTACAGGTATCCTACAGGCACATACAGGTATCCTACAGGTGCATCCCATGTAACTTACAGGTGTACACTACAGGTATCCTACAGGTGCATCCCATGTTGTAACTTACAGGTGTGCACTACAGGTGCATCCCATGTTGTAACTTACAGGTGTGCACTACAGGTATCCTACAGGTGCATTCCATGTTGTAACTTACAGGTGTGCACTACAGGTATCCTACGGGTGCATCCCATGTTGTAACTTTACATGTATGCACCACAGGTATCCTATAAGTGTATCTTACTTGTGCACACTACAGGTGTACTTACGTAGTAGTGTTTCAAGATGTGCTCCATGTCAACAGTGGCTGACACCCCAGGGAGCTGATACATGTCACGGGTGTATCCCCACAGATTTGGGTAGTTGATAATCTGACGTCGGTTACACTGAAACAAAGTGTTTGTTTTTTGGGTTTAACTTATTTACAGATCTACACACATGAGGAACGAAACATCTCATCTCAAATTTTCTGGGTTTCAAAATTCCAACAATGCTTGGAAGAGATCAAAATCTGTTTTCTTCTTAAACCTGCCCTCATGCTGGTGCCATGATAAGACAGTGATGTGTATGGCCTGTCACCTTTTGGAAACAGGGATGGCAATTTTCCGCGGATCCATAGAGATCCGCCAATTTTTTCAAATTGATCAATTCTGCGAATCGTCTAAATCTGTTGAATCCCTTTAACCCCCCAATTTGAAGACATAATATTAAGTTTTCAGCTGCAAATTTATTTTCCTGTTGCCATCCCTGTGGACAGCTGAGTTAGTGAAATAGTATTTCTGTCACACATTTACTGATATTTATTGAAATCTTTCTTGACCATGTGAGTGTGCAGTTATGAAATATAATGAAATCTAGGCGAGTGAGTGAAAGGACTGCAATGGCATCTCATCAGGTGGGCCCTATGCTTGTTAACTTAAGTTACAAAGGTCATCAGAACCTTTCCTCCCACTTTTTTTGATGTTATGTGATCTAACTGACCATGTCAATACGAACAGATTTTACATCTTGCAAGAGAAACTTCCAGTGAAGATGATCGTCACGATATGGCTGAAATATTGCCGATGTGACGTTAAATAATAACTCACTCACTCCAGTGAAGATGATGAAGAAGAATCAAGCAAAACGGAAGCACCACTCGATGTCAAAATAATTTTAAAAATAGATGATATAATTTATCAGCAGTTTCATTTGTCAGCAAAAATGTGATGTCAGCACACCCACCCCTTTAATAAACCAGTCACTAAGAATTTTTTTTGTTGAAATGTGATTGCAGTTCCTATTGTGTGGTGACTGTAGGGAGTCCAGGATTTGTTTAAAAATAAAAAAACAACAACCCCAAATTGATTGTCCCAAAAATGTTTTAAAAAATAATTATGCTTCAGATGGGGAAAATATAAATTTTCTGCTACAAAAATTACACTGTAACAAGGAATTGTTTTGTTGAAAAAATTAGGATGCTACTTCTTATTAACAAATTATCTTGTCTCTATACAAGATCCCAGCCTGGTCGAGCAGAGATAATATAAGCAATGCAGACAATTTATGTCCCGAAAAATGGTGAATTACAAAATACTAGTCAGGACAATGTATATTTCCCTAGCTTTAGGTCATGGAAATAGTTATGGTGCTAAGTCATAACCTTAGAATGACATTAGGTCAGCCAATGAAAATACAGAACACCTTTCACGGCACACAATAAAGACAAATAGTGAGTGACACTGACATGTGTAACTCAACAAAATGGAAAACAATGAATGAACTTCATCATTTGCCTTTATATTTATAGATCATATGTTTTTCAGGTAGACTGCGACCCGTGAAGGTCCGGGTTAGAATGAACCTGCAGTAACCCATGCTTGTCAAGAGGCGACTAACAGGATCGGGTGGTCAGGCTCGCTGGTTTGGTTGACACGTCATCGGTTCCCAATTGCGCAGATCGATGCTCATGCATATACTATATGGTACTAATAGTTGATGATGATTTTCATGGAGTAGCATGTACAATGTGAATGCTCATGCTGTCCATCACTGGATTGTCTGGTCCAGACTCGATTATTTACAGACCGCCACCATATTGCTGGAATATTGCTGAGAGCGGCGTAAAACTAAACTCACTCACTCAAGTTGACTGCAGTATTTGGGGTCTCCAAACAGGAACGAATGTTAAAGAGAAACATGATAACATAACTTCGTCACACTCGGACTTGATTTAATCAATGTTTGAAAACACCACTGACAGTACGTTGTAACATATAATGATGTAGCATGAATGTTATATTATGAAATGAAGATGAATAATCAACATTTTATGGTAATGCTCCAGCGATCAAAAACTGCCGCCAAAACTATTTCCCTTTTAAATGGTGCTTATATCCATTGTTCGATGACGCCATGCAACCCCAGCCAACTTACCAATTACATAAACGACAGAAAAAAGCGGTTTACATTACTGTTGCACTTGGTCTTATGCATTATGGCCGAAATAAGTTACATATAACATCACAAGTGTAAAAGGTGAACCTGAGTTCACAGATTTGCTAGTGGAATATGCATAATGGCCAAAGCTATACTCCTTTAAACATATTTAAACACATTTATTTTGACTTCCTGTGCAGGTAAATCTTTACCTTGAAATGTGTGTGGTAGACATTGTCAAACCTGACAAGGCTTGTGAAGAGCCTGATGTCTGCCTCTGTGACCTGACTCCCTGTCAAGTAGCGCTGTTTGCTGAGAATCTCTTCAGCCTGACACACAAAGTATATTACAGAATAAGTCTTACGATCATCCATGTTGAATATGGTCGTAAAATATCACATAACTGAACACTTCCAATATATTGTGCTGATGCCTGGTTTCGAACCCACAACCCTTCGCTCTCCAGCTTGATGGTTTTATCCACTAGGCTAGGAAGGATCGCTGTGAAGAATGTGATGGTTTGTCAGTATGAACCATGTGTTCCTCACAAGACGGGGAGTGCGTGAAGGACACAAGAGCGTGTGCAGAGCACGTGCATTAGCATGCATTGGCTGCCAGTCGCATCCCAGTTCATTTCAATAGTAAGTACCAAATATAAATATTATATCTAAAGCATATCTTCAGTCAGTTCATAAGTTGGGTCAAAACCTCCTCCTCGGTTTTGATCCTTCACTTTCGCACACTTGCCAGGAACATAAACAGATGATTCTACAAGTGTTTAATGTTTGTATTACATTTGTGAAATCTTCACTTGGTAGAATTATTATGATTTCACAAAATATAATAATATCAGGTTTACTGATTTTGTGACCTATAAAACCTAAATTAAGGACAATTTCTTAGAGCGGCATTTAAGAAGTTTGGGAGTACAATACTGACAATTTAATGGATAAGAACTTCTGTTACTTTATACAAATAAAAGCAGTTGCTATCAAACAATTTGTCATTATTCCAAATTAAGGAGGTGTCAAAATAAGTTTAAGATAAAAGAAATTAAACAAAAAAGTTACAAACATATTACTTCAATGTAATATCATATTTCATTAACTAGTACTTGATATTGTGACACACATGGTAAAAACTTAGTTAAATGCAGTTACAGAGCATTACCAACCAACACAATGAATGCTATATGCACAGGTTGCTATGGACCTGTCAAAACTTGGAATCTTTGAAGATGTAGAACAAATAATTAAATTGGAATGGCCTGTGTATTTCTTTATAGCACAACACGTTCATTCTTACACGGTCAAGTCCCTGGAAGACCTCAGTGATGGTGTTGTCGTAAGCCCCCTGGCTCTGGGCAAACCCACAGCGGTAGACTCCATTGTTGATCTGGCTGCAACATAGAGTGAGTGAGTTTAGTTTTACGCCGCGCTCAGCAACATTCCAGCTATATGACGGCGGTCTGTAAATAATCAAGTCTGGACCAGACAATCCAGTGATGGACAGCATGAGCATTCACATTGTACATGCTACTCCATGAAAATCATCATCACCCCACCTAGCCATAAATTATGAATGGTCCCTAAATACAGCAAACAAATAAAGATTTAAAGGCACTATATCACACCACACCTCTCTCAAAATAAATTATTCATTTCACTCAATGCTACTAACTACATAGTACCATATAGTATATTCCCCCCAAAATATGTATTTAGATTACAATATAAAATTAAAAAGTTCAAATGATGCAAAATTGCATTAAATCGACTTTCACGCCCTCTACCAGTTAAACATTATTTCAAGTGAACCCCACAGAGTTACATATACCCTTGGAGCGCTCTTTACGAATATCTTAGTATTACAACTTGAAATGAAATGAAATGAAAGCCTTGCTCTGAAACTGGGTCTTGTAAGATTTGGTTGCCAATGTTTTGCTAAACAATTTTGATGTGGAAACAGAAATCTATTTTTTTGTTGAAAATTACCTTGAGTCATGTCATGATTTGGTGAAAAGGCCACCATCATGGACTGATTTGGATTTTCACTTTTTCACATGAAAAAACCCCAACACATCATGGACATGTACCACATTTTTGCATAGGGCATTGTTGTGTTTGGACATCTGGATGTGCTTTGCATTGATCTAGTTTGAAATTGTGTTCAAACAATTTTGCAATTTCAGTTTTAATGTGGTAAAATTTATTTTGGCCGTCAATTTGTGTGTCAAGTTTGATGCAGAAATACTGCCATTTTCAATCTAATTGTGAATACAAAATGCCCTTTAGAAAGTTGTCAAGTGCACCATATGTTATATTTGGGATTACATTTTCTCTTAAAAAGTATAGATTCTAGTACTTTTGGGGTTGAGCCCCACTGAGGATTCAAACCCACACCCTCAGAGTAAGGCACCTAATCAGCAGCACACAAAGTCAGCCATCTAAAAGACTACGCCATGGCTGATACTATAGTACTGTCGGAAATAGAAAAAAACTGTATTTTCTCATTTATCTCTACAGTTTATGTAGTTGATATGTGCAAGTGTGAAATATCTCTTAAACCAAGTTCGGCCTAACTACAGTCTCAATGGTAGGGACACAAGAAACGTAGAAAAAGGACTTTACTGAGGAGAGATTAGTGCAGAAATGAGCAATGCGATTTTTTTCTAAGTCCAAAACGAATTATTTGGAACAGACCATGGCTGTATGCAAATTAGTGTGCGACGATATTGTATTATAAAGGACACTTTTTAAGTGACCAATTTGAAATTAGACCTAGCTTCATTATAAACGAAAGCTGGCGTAAAAAATAATAACTTTCATGCTGAAACTATTAAGGATGTAGCTACCATGGAGTCTCACTGTCACTATAAAAAGAAACAGATCGGAGGGTTCGTCTCAAAAGCAAAACCTGGACAGGTGTCGCAGACGATCGTTGGGGTCGGGCTTGGGAATAGAGATATCAGCTAAGATACGATAATCCTTTAGGGCAATTATACTGGGGAAGTACACGGCATGTCATAACAATTTACAAATAATATCCAGTCCTGTCGATCTTCGTGATCGGGTGGTCATGCCACCTATATATTTTGAGACATTTAATACGATGCGTTTCTATGGTTATCAGGTATCAAACTCTTTTACATATCTCAACATAAACTGTATGAAAGAAAGACACTTAAGCTGTTAATCAATAGATGAGGCATAGTCAACACACATGAAAAAGCACAAAATATGGGTGCCTGTAGGCAGCACATGCATTTCATGCCAAGTGAGTCGACGGTCTGTCGTCATACCTGGCTGAGCGACCTAATTGCCATCTATAGTCTGATCTATTGTTTTCAGCAGCTATTCATATTTTTTCTAAGTTTTGCCCGATTTTACGAGTAAACATGTTTTTCTGGATATCCTATTACGCATCCCACTGAATGCCAAGTTAGGCCGAAGTGGGTTATTTCGACATATGCTATTTGCAGTTGTGTAAATTTTAGGGATACAGAGTTAGAGCCTAAAAACAGTTTTTTTCTATTTCCGACAGTACTTTAGGTAAGAGTTGTTGCTATGGAAATTCTAAAGATAACTTTTTCAAAATCCCACACTATCAAAATGCAACAGTTCACCACTCAGCCTGTTTTCTCTGAAATCATCGGTTCAATAGTTTGCCCGTAACAAAGTGAGTGAGTGAATGAGTGAGTTTGACTTTAACATCGCTTTTAACAGTATTCCAGTTAAATCACAGTGTCTCAGCTGATGAGTGAAGAATACCTGATGCAGGTCTTAGACAAAAACTGCTTTGAAACACACCATGCTGACTAATCCAGAAACATAATTGGGTGAAATCATGTTTTAGTGTTCCAATTTTGAGGTTTTCCTAAAATAATAATCACAAAATGAAATAAATTTTAATACATTTTTGGTTACTAAAATTAAACTGATTCACCCAAAAGAATAAAAAAATAAAAATAGTTGTAAACACTTCAGGTCATGTTGCCAGAGGGTGTCACACTTTTTACTGTCAACCTTTGGACTCTTCCAAGTATCCTATGAAATCCCTCCATAGACTCTCCCATGCACAACACAATATTATCACAACATGATATACAACAGTGACAAGAACAGTCCACTACAACATAGGGGGAACAGGATGCCTGTACTTGATTTCTCAATCTCCATTGCCTCTTCTGATGACCTCTTTGAACTGAAAAAGTGTCAGCCTGTCCTGTGGCAATTTCACTGAACCCATGGTATGACATTTACACGACCTTGTGGCCATGAATGTCATCAGGCTGTGCTACACACCCCTGAGAACATAACACAGGTCAATGGTCTGTGGAACTGCTGCACTGGTCTGCCATGGTGGCAGAGGGCAGGTGCACTAAACATGAACTTGGACTGTACTGAGCCCATGGTGACCTGGGTCACCGACAGCTAAGAGTACATGTTGCACTGACCATTGGTGTCTGTGTCTGCTGCATCTCTTCAGGGACCTATTTACCTAGTCTGTGAAGGTCACCTGACCTATAGCCGGACTTTGGCACAGAAACAGCACTTGTATAACTTACAGCTGTACTGTTACATAATAATACATGCATGACACATTGTGTGAAGCCCATTTCTGGTGTCTCTGGCCATGACAATTGCTGGAACAATGGTAAAAGCTGCATCATACTCACTCACTCAGTTTGAGTTTAGATGCAGGTGTAAATGATACATACAAAAACTGAATGGTAACTAGAAAGTGTTTTTACTCATAAAAACAGATGTCTCCCCCAATTTCCCCAACCTCAACGCTGAGACCTCAACAGAAGAAAAAAAAAATTGAAACAGAAAAAAAAAAAAGAAAAAAAAAAAGAAGGAAAGTTCAAACCCCAAAAGGCACATCTACATGATATGGAGAGGCAGTATAGCAAATTTGGTGAAGATTGTTTAATTAGTTTTAGAGTTATGTTCCGGGAGAAAGCTTTACCCTTTAAAAAACAAAGTCCAAATTGTTGCCATGAAAACAGAAAAAAATTAATTTGACAAAAAAAAACTCAAACCCCCAAAAGGCACATCTACATGATATGGTGAGGCAGTATACCAAATTTGGTGAAGATTGTTTAATTAGTTTTAGAGTTATGTTCCGGAAACAATTTGAATGCTGACGCCGACACCAACGCCAACGGAAACTTAACCAAAAACAATATGTCTCCTGACCCTTCGAGGGGAGACATAATAGCAAGGTGTTTTAAATAATCAGATGTGTCATGAAAAGGTCACTTGTTTACTGCAGCATGGCAATACATATGTTTAGGGTCAGGGACGGGATCAAGAGACATTTGCAGTAAACATGATTGCAGGTGAGAAGGAGAATAACTGACTCGAAACTTGTCATTCTGGTCTATCTTTTCCCCAGTACCATACCTCAAATGCCTGGCAAAATCTCTGCAGGTTTGGCTTTAAAGTCACCACAGTACACATTACCACCACTGCATTTTGATAATCAGCATCACCATAGTGAAAGCTTCACTCTGATACTGATTCTCAAGGGGCATTCACACGTCACAACTGGTTGGTGTTACATATTGGTATACATTTGCATGCAACTTGGTGCTGACACAGCAGTGAGATGTATTCTGTCTAGAGAATTTCAGGTTTCAGAACAGTAACCAAACCTGCTATCGGAATGTCATTACAATCATAAGCCTGTCATTTCAGTTTCCTCAGTGGAAAGGGCGTGTCGATGTCGATGACAATAATGATGAATTGTTGTCATTGTATGTACTTTTCAAAGTTCCTGCATTGACCTTCCTGTTTACAAATCTACATGTAAATATCACACATATCCAAATTTTGATCTGTGTCTATTCTTATTGTCAACAAACATACAACTTGTCCATGAACACAGTGTGCCTTGAGTGGTACAACTCACATCTATAGTTTGGCATGAAATGCATGCGGACCCGTTTTTTTGTAAATATCTCTTCATCCAATGACCCAATCGATCTCAAACTGTGCAAGTGGATGTTTTGTCAGACAACCTAATCACATTGTAAATCACCGATTTTATGCATTTGTATTGAAGAATCTGTCTATGTAACTGTCAACAAAATAAACAGCAGAACGCAGACGGCTTGCAGAGGGAGGGAGCCAATGACCTGTAACAGCGGCAGTGTTGGGTTCATGATAGTTACTAGACTAAGGCTTAGTCTCTGAATATATATAATTTTGTTAGTAACAAACAAGCCCATTTATATTAAAAGGAGCCCTAGGGAGACCAGAGATTCAGAACCTGAGGAAATCTAGACTTGCTTTATTTAGGGCTTTAGCACTGCAGAGAGGGCTTGGCAGTAGGGAAATTAATGTGGTTCAGGGACTGTGAGACAGACTAGATAGTTACCTGTGCACTGCACAG